ATATCAATCATCAAATTATTTCACAAGCACACTACCATTAGTACTTTATATATACACCACAGGATCATAATTTCTTATACAATTCTCATTACTATTTTACGTACGATTATACAATTCAACCATCATATCCATTTTATCAATGGCAAGTCTGCCAATTAGAATCGACATCCATTAACTACAATGATACCTTCCCCGTACATTTATCTTATGCCTTTCATGGCGATTTTCTCAACTTCTTCCTTATACGCATAATACTTAATTAATTCATCTCACATATGTTTAATCAATACCACCTCCTTATGGATTTAAATTCCATATTCCAATATATCTCAAATTAACACATTACTCACATAATCATTCCGAGTATTCAAATCCCCTAGGATTAGATATCAAAGGTTTAATTCATTTCTAAAAATCTCAGTTTATTCAAGTGTATGCCCTCAAATCAGGGACTTCTAAATTTCTAATTTAATATCAAGGTATTCAAGCTTACATCTAAATTTATCTGTTCATATTTTTTATTAATTCATCAGGTTCCAAGTCACACATCGTATTGAAGTCAAATCACTAAGTTCACCTATGATAACACTGTACATAAAAGGGTCAGACAAATCATACAAATTTGTTTTCATTAAGTCCTCAAATATTTAAATTTTACTCACAACCGTCTCTGTCCGTGGAGCAGTCAACACTGCAGCCACAACACCAGGCTAAGGACTTGCGTTAGGTACTCCAAGGTTGCCACACAGGTTTCTTATGATGACCACACATATAACACAAAGGAATGGGTTGATCAGACCCACACTAAAGAATCACATATGCAATAATCAATAAAAGTCTACATACAACTATACAGCACTTACCACAATCATACAACAATTAGAGTTCCCTAGTAAACTACTCTGATACCATAAAATGTAACAGCCCGTTACGTACCGGTATTGTTAACATTGATTATGATATTAAGCGCAGTTACAATCACAGCAGTTCATTTATAAAAATGCGAGTAAACTTTTTCCTTTTCATTACGTGAGCATTTAAAACAATAATAAAGCGTAATGGATAAAAGCTGTGACCATAATTGAAAACTAAGTGGGGAATAATAATATTAATTACCTAACTATCATATAATACTTCTCTTAAGTTACCCAGGGGTTTCCATAAACCCACTTAATCTAAATCTCCTTTTTACGGTTTTTACCTTTCCGAACATGGTTCAGTCTTTTGGATACTGAAGAAATTACGCGTGTCATAAACCTCTCATCTTTTATTATGTTATTCTAGACTTAATATATTTCCAAAAATCTATCACACGCTCCAAAAAGTTCTTGTTTGCTCCGGTTATCACAGTTTGAAGTTGGACAAGCAAAACTGACAACCAACCTCAAACAGGACACCAAACAGCCCTCACTCTTTCCACGATTACGGACAAACCAATTTACCAATTACTCTCAAACTTTTATACAGTAAACTAGACACCTAAAGATTCAATTTGACATATCATGGGCCTAATTTGACCAAGAATTGAGACAGGAATAATTTTCCCAAAAACAGGTCACGACAGCCCCAAGTGCAAGGATTTCTGGACAGTCCTCTCTTCTGCCTCTACAGCTCTGCGTACTACTCCTATGGATCTCAAATTTTGATACAATGTAGTTGACATCTCAATCTTCAAAGTGGTGTATCGCATATGCTCTCCCAAAGTTCACCCAAAATCTGCCATTTTATAAAAATTTCGACAGCATCTCCTTTGTTTTTTCAACGTATCTCACTTTTATAAAAGTGTGTTATCTATCATCAAGGGTACCTAATAGACACGGGTGGCACTCAAGGACCAGCAATGCCTTGGTGCTCTTACAACCCATCACAATTTATATCTATTTGCTCACTTTACATTTCATTTCTTAAATTTTAAAACTTAAACCATTTTAATCACTTTGATTTAATTACATGCATTCTTTAGACATAAAACATAAATTCATGCCCTAGAATAGGCTTATTGCCCTTTCATCATATAGTATGCTACAATATTACACAAAGTCCCAATATTACAAATTGCAAGTTCTCCAATGAAACATAATACAATTTACATCTCCAATTACAACATAATAATTCCTCAAATAAAACATGATAAATCATCAACTAAGCTTAGACAAAATATGACATGAACAAAGATGGCAATATGAATAATCCTAGATCAACATACAATGTTCATGTCCTAAGTCTAGCCTAGGCCAAGTGGCCTCAAAATGCAAAATAGCTCTATGTCTATAAGCTCATCCTACGGGCCTCTTACCCAAAGCTTCTGCCCCACTGCTACTACCTGAAATAAGTCTCCAAAATGGAGTGAGATATACGGATATATCTTAGTAATCCAGAGATTCTGGAGATTACTTTGCCCAATGGCTCACTCAGATGTACATTAACAATATACCACAACATCCAAAAAAAGATAAAGCAAGGGATTTAGTGAAGAAGGGAAGCACAGGGAGTAAAAATACGATGAAGCTAGAATGGTCGACACCAAAACCACCCAACATCCGGCCTATTTGCCTCGACATATAGCCTACGGATTCTCATCCAAGGAAGTGTTCCCAAAACATTAACCAAGGCACCCTCCATTCATATACACCCGAGACTTTTCTAGTGTGCTCCTCAACGGATAACACACCATGACCCCAGGTCAACTGGAACTCCCTCATAGAGACCTATCCAGTGGAAGTCTGTAACGTCCGAAGGCAACAACCTACTGGCCAGAGACACGGTACATCCTATGTACCACTATACATACATAAATGCATGAGCATGTTATATCATATTACCAACATACACCTCTAACCACTACCCCCAAGGGACATGGTGGAGCACACACGGGGAGTAACCCCAGTACCAAGGGATTACTGATAGAAACTCCCTCTCTTGGTGGCTCCAATTCACAGTACCATCGAGCTTGGTTCAACAAGAAATGCCTACACATAGGCCATTTCCATTACAATTATAATCAACCAAGACATATACATGCTTATTACAGTATTCATGCATATATTCATAACAACTTACCACAATCCCTTTGGTCAAAGACCATAGACAACCCACCAAGATCAAAGCTCCAAGTTCACGTCTGTGGGAGGCAACCTACAATGATCACTCGAGGATCATCAATACCATGGTGCAACCAAGTCAAAATACCAAGCACCACAACCTTCCCACACATGCATAGGTTCGACCAAATGGCCTAAAATACCTAGCTATATTCTACATTTTATTTTAAGGTTCCGTTAGCTTCCTAAGCTTACCACGACATCGTTTCAAGTCTTTAATTTCATTCAGTTACTCCTCTACACCATTTTTCTCAATTATCCTCCTTTAGGCCAATTCCTACACTTGTACATATCCAATGATTCTATTTCCAATTCACATGCATCAAACCAACATACCATCCATTTAAACATAATTCACAACCACACAACACCAATTACATGATTTTACATCATATTTTCCTTATTCCTTCATTGGTCGAATTCTACATGGATTCATACTCAAAGGTTTTAAATTCAATTCAACACTTCCACACATCATACAATCATATATAATTAACTCATACAAATACTCAATTACACAATCCCACAACATATCAATTTCACAAAGTCATGCATACCATAAAAAAAGCTAAAAACTTGCTTTTTTGGAAGCTAAAATTTTTAGCTTCGAAAAAAGCAAAAGTGAAAAATTAAATATTTTTTTTTCAAAAACTAAGTGATTTTTTAAAAATCTAAATAGTTTTAACTTTTATTAAAAAAACACTTCTACAATAAACAAGGTATAAAAGGTGGTTTTTTTAAAAGGCTAAACAAACAGACTACATAGAAGATGCGTGATGGGGAATCACTTTCAGCCAAATTGTTTTGTACCACCGCCTCCAAGCAACTTTTAAGCCAAGGTATACAAAGCCGGCATACTAGTTCCTATTCCAAGATTCTTCGTGAAAGCCAGAACCCAATTGCCCCAAGCCCCAAGCTATTTCTCAAAACTACACCACAATTGGACTGGAAACCGTTACTAGAGCAAAAGCCATCAATATTTTTTTTTATGCAAACCTATAGTGGAAATGACCACTTAATACAACATTTCTTATAAGAAATTCTCGTTGATATTTAGTAACACATTTACTGAGTCATCCCTCTTCAGCTCTATTAAGTAGAGCACGTATAAAACTTTCTAATTTAACCAATTACTCACATCTCTACTTTCCCCACACCCTCCCTCTCTTCTCTTTCTCCCGTTTTCTCTTCTATTCATTAGCTCCTTCGTTACATTCATGGCTTCAACCTTGAACCATAATACTTCCAAGCTAATTTTGAAAAACTTTAGTTTCATGGCTTCAACCTTGAACCATAATACTTCCAAGCTAATTTTGAAAAACTTAAGTTTCAAAGAAATTTTCTCATTGTAGCACTATATATATATGTGTGTGTGTGTGTGTGTGTGTGTAAATTTATATAAACAATTTTGGAGATTATAATCTAGTCTTAAAACATGCTACTTCTTTTGCCGCGGTTATATTCTAGCTTCAGCATTAAATCTAAAGGTTTAAACGACATGATTTTTTGGTAAATAGGTTTTAAAGAAATTGATTAATACAAAAGCAAAAAGATCCAGTAGTCAACATGTTTAATTTGATTAATGCAAAAATCCACTGCAAAACAAACCTCACTCAAGCGCATAAAGAATTTTTTCTCAAGCGACCAGATATTTCCATAAAGACACTAGCAAATAATCTATTAACAAACTCTCCATAAATTTCTTACTACTTCCACCCTAAACAGATCTGTTTCTGTACTAAAGCCCACAACTCAGCTTACAAGTTAAATAGAGCAAAAGATAATCCTTGCTAAGAAATCTTTAAGATACAATCCAAGTGACAAATACAACTAGCCTTCATAATCACCCTGAGCAAATTTGTTCTCTGGATAAAAGACAGCCACTACTTGATTTCCACCAAATTTACGACCATTCAATCCAGCACGTGCTTTTGTAGCACCATCAACATCAACATACTCCAAAAACACCTGCAAGTAAAAAATAGTTTCGTATGATCACAATTTATAGCATGTATCTATAAGCAATCACCCACAACTTAACAAGTTCATTTTCCATTAGCAATTTCTGACAAATCTTCAGTTCCTCGAATATACTATAATTTCAAACAACTACATCAATCCACCATCGTCAAAAAAATAAAAAATAAAAACTCCATGTTCATTTCTGCACAAGAGAGAAAAATAGAAAAACAATAAACAAAAAATTATGCCTGGAGAAGAAAGGTGAGACTGAATTTCCAGAAGAATATGTCACTATTACAAACCTTTCCAACTCCTGCAGACTGTTCACCATCTGGTTGTGGAACTGGTTGGGAACGAGGGATCACCACATTCACCAAAGTACCTGAAAGTTGTGAAAACAAAAAAAAAGTTAGATATGCAAATAAATTTTCAAAAACATGCAATGAAAAAAGCATGCGTGAACAAGGATAGAAGGTTATGGAGGCTTCGATCTGTAAGTTAGGTCTGATTCGTTATGAGAGAACGTGGGATTACAAATGGCTGTAAAACAAATAAATAACAGAGAAAATTAATATGAATGTGTTATAGTTCGAAGTGAAAGATAAGCAAACTAAATGATAAATTACCAAATTTGGAGCACTCCTGTCTCATATCATCAAGAATCTCTTCGTAGTCCTCATCATCTTTGAGCTCATCAGCAGAAACTGCGTGAGTTAAACACACCACCTTTGTTGCCACTAATGCTGGTTGTAACATTAGTTTCTACAGAAATCAAAAGTATATAGCAATTAAAATTTTAATAACGTGCACCAAAGATTTTGGTAACAAATAAAATCTTAGATACAATCCAATCAGACCTGCAGAGCAATCTGCTGCTGTGCATGCATTAAAATGCTCTCTTGCTCAGGCTTAGGCTGCTGTGGGTTTGCACCTTGATTAGCTCGTCTAACTGTAAGAGTCTTATCTCCCATTTTTATTCCATTGAGAGCTGCACAGGCAATATCTGTAACTGCAAGATCTTGGTAAACACAAAATGCATAACCCTTTGAGTTTCCTGTTTCTCTATCTTTAACTAGATCAAAACCTCGAAGAGGACCAAAAGTCTCTAAAAGCTCTCTGATCTGTGTTTCGGTAAAGTAATAAGGTAGTCCACCCACAAAAATCCGATCAGGACCATCAAGTCCACCAGCTGACCCAGGGGTTAAACCAACAGCGCCCAGATTAAGGTTTGGATTAGGTTGGCTTGGACCTAGGGTGGCAGCTAGAGAAGGATTATAATCAGTAGGTCTCCGGACTTTAACAGGTGCCCCCTGAATCGAAAATGAAATTCGGATAAATGCCAATGGATATACTTGCATCCTCACAAAAAAAAAAACAGGAAACCAAGCTTTAGGTTGTTGTTAGATAAAAAGATACCTCAAAAATAATCCCATCCAAAGCCATTGCATTGCTAGCTTCCTCAACAGACCTCATCTCGACAAAGGCAAATTTCTTATCATGGTTGATGTAAACGTTGACCACCGCATCACCTGAACAAATTAAAATCAAATCAATTAGGCATATTATAATGTCAGCAAACTGGCACAATTAATTTAAGATTATAATGTACCTGGACCAGCAGTGTTTCCTCCAATCTTGGCCATAACCTGACTGAAGAAAGTTGCAACTGACTGCAGTATAACAATCAGAAACAAAGATTAAAAAAAGATAAAATTATCACAAATAAAACCAGCTAAAAATATTATCCAGTTTGTTCTCCACTTGATTTTATGTCAGCAGAAGCTACACATAGTGGGACATAATTAAATTGCTCTCACAAAAATTACAAGCATCAAAAGTAAAGCACATGAAGAGCATCTAGTAACTCTGAAAAGCTTTATCAAGTGGTGAAAAATGGGAAACTATTTCACAAATAGGCAATTTAGCAGATAACCAAACCACCTTAGCTATTCTCATTCAGAAAATAATAGGGAAAGATCATCCTGAGCTATTCTATATTACCTGCTCATTGGCTGTAGGAGGGAGGCCCCCTACATAAACCCGCCTAGCATGCCGTGTAGCCTGAATATTTGGTACCTCAAAGAAAGGCCAAAGTTAGGAATAAGTAATGCTATAAGGGAAAGGTAATCCTCATCTAACTGAAGCTTTTTTATACCTGTTGAGTCATAGCCTGAACTGGCATGACAGGGAGTGCACTAAATTGCTGCATCTTAAAAAACAAAGAAACAAAAAGAAAGGGAAATCAATAAAAAAATTGAGTTCCATAACCAGAGTTGTAAATAAAGAAATGAACATACCTGATTTGTAGCCAATGGAAACATATTTTGAAACATTCCCGGAATTGCAGGATTTGCCCCCGTGATCTGGCCTGCAAATAAAAGGTATATTTCATCTCAGAACAAACTCATTATTTTCATCTTTAGGAATCCTATTATATAGGTATCAAATGACTCCTTTTGCTCCAACTTGCCTGAGTATAAGCATAATCTAACCTCGTATATATTATATCAATAAGATTAACGGAACATTGTAAACAAGCTTTAGAGATAATATTTGCAAGTCTACCAAAGTAGGTAATAGTTTCCAGTTGAAGACGAACAAGACCCACCATTGATTCCTCCGTGGATATAAAAGCTACAGATGTCGGCTCACGCCCATTGTCAGCACAGTGGGGCTAGTAGCCCAACATTGCCTTCTTAGAACATAAGACAAGACATAGAAACAAAACAAACAAACACCAAACACAAGACAAAAACCAAAGCATCTTTTAGTTCCAGAATTATATCACTAAGTAAAAAAGAAAGACAAAATTACACACCATCGAAAAACCAGTCTTCAAAGAGCTATATACTCAGATAGTAACTGAACATAGCTTACCAAGTTAACACCATGCAATTTGATATGAATTTTCCATACTAAGACCAACAAAGAAAGAAAGCAGTTAATATTGAAAAAGTTCATAATATATACATGAGTAAATGTACCTGCAACAGCAGAAGCACCAGCCAACATTGCAGAAGCAGGGGGAGCCATATCAAAACCACTAGTCCTTTTGCTGTACGTGAATTAAGTTAGTATTCCAATAATGCATGTTACTTTTCATGAAACAGGTATCAATAAATAATATAAGGTAAAACTATCTGCATCTAACACAATTTCAAAACAGGATGTTTTTGAAATGTACCAATAAACAGTAAGGAAGCCTCCCGTCACCTATAATACTAGAAATAAGGATAGAGGTCACTATCATTTGGTCATACTTTCAACATCAACATTACCTTTATCCCAAATATTTGGCCATACTTTAGGTGATGTAATTATAATGATCCCTTAAATTAAAATCATTACGGATGTATTGGAAATAAAATGGCTTTTCAATTAACTACGTAAATTATTTCTCTCTTCCACATGCATGTACAACATTATACTAGTTCCAGTTGCACACAACAATTATTTTATTTTACAAAACAGAACATAGAATTTCCCAAATGGCAATCACATCCATTATATGTTAGTGCAAATCTATACACTGAATGTTAAGGATCTTTCCTCAGCCTACCTCTTTGAGCGTGAACGAGAACGTGACCTTGATCTATGCTCAGATCGAGCCCTTGTACGTGAACTAGATCGAGATCTAGACTTGCGCTTATGCCTATCCTCTCTATCATAATCCCTTCGTCTGTACCACCAAACAATTTCAGACAAAAATTGAAAAAGAAAATGAATAGAAAACAATTTATTGAAAATAAAGACATTGCTAATGTTTTGGAAATAAGAATGTCAATTCTTATGCAAGACAACGGATTGAATGTAACAAGAATGTCTATTCAAAAACTGATGCTGATGAAAATTCTCAAGCACCACTTCAGATACAAGGAATTAATATCCCAAATAAACTTTTACCTATCAAAGTCCCGACTTCTGTAATAATCATCATCATCATCTCTATCCCTCCCCCTTTCCCTTCTCTCACTACGGTCCCTGTGTCTATCTCTATGATGGTGATCCCTGTCCCGGTCCCTTTCCTTCTCCCCATCACGATCTCGTTCCTTGTCTTTGCTTCTCTCCCTATCTCTGTCCCTGCTTCTCTCTGTATCCCTGTCCCTACTTCTCTCCCTATCCCTGTCCCTCCCCTTTTCTCTTTTTCTCTCCTTTTCTCTCCCTTTCTCTCGCTCCTTCTCTCTGCTTCTGGAAGATTCTCTGTCATAATCACGAGATCCAAGCTGCCAAAAGACATATACATATCAAAATATTAACAGAAAATAAACGAACTCATATCTTCAAACATGATAATAGCAGTGATACATATAAAGGTAAGGTGAAAAATAATTATTACAGCAATAGATATGCTTCACAGTCAGTAATATACTGAGCATACAAGTACAACCAATAGGTATGCACAAATCACAATCACAAATACCATGCGACAGAAAACAAACCTGCAAAGAATAAATTGCATATAACATACCATAGAGCAGCCCATATCCAGTGTTTCCATAATTTTTTATTCTTATTATATTTAAATGAAACGTGTGAAAACACCACACAAAATCAAGATAACCACCGAATTTTGTTCAGAAATCAAATACTTCCACCAACTTTTTTTAATTTAAACAAAACACGAGAGACTTCAACTTCCTTAGGTTCAAATAAAAACAACAAATAAACAAAAAAAGAGCCCTCAAACATTTTCGTAATATTTATACTGTAAGAAAACGCCCACTACATATGGTACATAGTTAACCAAAGTTCAAACCTTACCACCACCTACACATATCTACCTACACTTAAATTATCAAACATGAACAACATCAACATCAACATAATACTTATACCGAACTAGTTGGGGAAATTCTATACATAGAAAGGCAAACAAACAATATTGAAATCTAAACCAAATCTCACGCAACCTCCACATCTTTAGTTCTGCACACGAATCTAGAAAGAAAAGGAACTTCTTTATTCTGCTTAGATTCAAAACAAGGAAAACAGAAAAACCCTCATCCGAAACCCCAGCAGAGAGATTAAAAGTGAGAATACATCGAAAACCCTAATTTTGTACGAAACTTAAACTGCCTATAAACGAACATGAAGGAAAAAAAAATAACATTAATCAAACGATGGTGTGAAAATAATGGAAGATAGAGTGAGAAAGCATACGCGAGATTTGGAATCGGTGAGATCGAGGTGGGTAGTGTCACCAAGTTGAGGAGAAGAATCAGCATGAGCATGACCATGAGAATTGTGAAGCTCTTCTTCTTCTCCGTTCCCTTCGTATCTCTCTTCGTATTCAGCCATCTCTCACTCTCTCTCTTCTTTCTCTATCTTTATCGGTGAGTCAGAGTCAGTGCTTCCTTCGCTTAGCGATTTATGTAATGTGTTGTATCTTCTGATATCTGTATTGCGCAGAGACACTCAAATACCCTCTCGCTCTCACGTGTCGGGTTAAGCCCATCTAGGTTAGCTCAGCCCAACAAAATTCCAGCCTTGACCCAAAACATTGGGAAATCTTTCATTAGTCAAATATCAAATTAATTTTACCTAATAATTTACTTAAATTTAACCAAGTATTAAAACTTGAGTAAATTATTAATATGGGTAAATTATTAGTTAAATTTTTTATATAATTAATTAATTGATATATAAACTGAAATGAATTCACTTGTTAATTATTTTTTTTTTAAGCATGTTATATTTATAATTTGACTTTGTCACTATTAAATTAAATTTAACTTAGTGGCACTCATCATATATCAATTTATATTGTGATTCAACAATAAAAAAAAAGATCGTAAGAGATTGTAGGAAAAAAATTCTAAATAACCTTCCTCTTATTTTTATTTTTTTAGGTGAAATATTCATTGGCTAATTATATATGTATGTTGGGGTAAATAAGACTTGCATGAAACAAAAGGTCATAGTTCAAACTACATTGGAAAATATTTTCGCATATGAAAATATAATTCAACTAACTCAAATAATTTAATACAAGTAGCTTTTTATCTCTTAATATTTAGTAGCCCGATATTGACACTTTTTTGTTGCTGATAAAAACACTTTAAACATAGGAACAAAGTACCATTGTTTGTCAAAAAATTTATCCAAATACCACGTGAACTACCAGACTGTCACATGTCAAATCGCTATCCCTGGTAGCGAACTTTGTCGTCAATAATTTCGTGACATGTGGCACACTTAGCATGAAAAGCTGATTGAACCAAGTTCGCTACCAGTGGTAGCGAACTTGGTACGTTATGTGGCACACGAATAATGACATGTGTAATAAAATCATTGGCGACGAAGTACACCACCAATGGTAGCGAACTTTTACGCTTAGTATTCTGGTAAAAAGTACTGTTCGTGTGATATTTGGGTAAAAATTTTTTGCCAAACAGTGGCACTTTGATGAATGTTCCTTTAACATAGTTATATCCAACCAACTGATTTGAAAAATCGATGACTTGCCATTCAAAGTTAATACATTCTTTTAGGCTTGACGCATTAGTCCATTTGAGTAAATATAAGTAGGGTTTTATAATAGTTATACTGTAGAAAAAATGATTATGTAATGTTATAGAGATTCGTTTTACGTGCCGGAGTTTTTTTTTTTTTGTTTCAAAAAGTGTAAGCCCCACAAAATATTAGGTGTGTAGGAAACTTTTTTGTGTCATGTTAAATGATAAATACAAACCCTAAATAAATAATATAGTAATGTTATTATGTTGTTGTTACTGCTTTTATTATTGTATTGGATTTCACCATAAATCATATACTCATTGGCCAGGCCTTATATTAGGCTTTTCAAAAAGTCAAATCATGCCTTAATAGAGGGTTTAGATCAAGTAAATAGATTATACTTAAGCTTTATATTAAAAAAAGAGAGTAATTTACAAAAAAAAAAAAAGAGTAAATATTTTTTTTGTCCTCAGCAAAGTTTACCATACCGCTTTAATTCTTAGCAAATAAAAAAGTTATTCGTAGTCCCTAAAAAATTCAAAATAGACCCATTTAGTTGAAAGTCCCTCATAAATTTAAAAAAGACTCATATTAGTTCCTCAAACAGACTAAAATTGGTTCACTTTGAATTTCTTAAGGATCACGAATAGTCTTTTTATTTGCTAGGAACTAAAACAAATATTGTAAAATTTGCTGATAACCGAAAAAGGTATTTACTCTTTAAAAAATAGGCTTTACAAGTGGGGCCATTGATTTAAAAAATAAAAAGAAAAAATTTGGCACAAATTTCAATGTATGTACAAGAAATAAATCTTTTCTCCTATAAAATAAAAAAAAGTAAAGCCCTTAAAAAATAGGCCAAACTTGTTTACGGTAAAGCCTTACTTGGCCTCTTTTGTTTCCACTCTTATCGATAAATAATATTTTTTTGTTCTACGCAGGTTAAGGGAATATTTTATGAGGAAAACAACTTTCATGTAGTAAGAGAATTATTTTCTTATACCAATAACTCTTTGATTTTCATACAATATATTTTTTTAATAATGTGGGCCCACACAAAGTATGTTTATACTCTACTGTATGAGCTACTTATTTCTTATTACATAAGACGATTGAAACCCATATTTTATGGGTTTAGTGTTTATTATGTTTTAGGAAATAAATTTGTCTCTTTTTTTGGAGTTATCCAACCCTAATTATCTCTTTGAGACGAGTTGACTCCCTTCGGTATCCCCACGAGCTTCGACTCTTTGAGCCAGCTATGAGACTAATCCGGAGTGCGGGGGAACAGTGATGGCTAAAGGTTCAGCCCCCTCCCCAAGAATGCATTCAGCGGGAATCGAACACATATCCAACCCCACTAACTCAGCGTCAAGTTACCAACTGAGCTGCACCCATTGGGTATAAATTTGTCTCTTACATACACATAAAAACGTATGGGGTCCTTGTGGGCCCATGTGAGGAGAAAAGAGAAAAAGAGAAAATATGGGCCCCACACTTTTATGTGTATGTATAAAATAAATTTATCTCTTATAACATGAGAAATATTAAACTCATATTTTATAGTGGGTAATCTTAATTTTTTTAGTATACCAGAGGGGCAACCCCCAAAAGAAAAGGTAATCTTACTTTACATTTACCAAAAGATTAGGGTTATATAGTTCTTCTGTCACTGCAGATGGAAAAAAGTGCAGCAACATTTATTTTCATCAGGATACGCGTCCGGATCCTGATGTGTATTTTTTTTTTTTAGGCCAAGATACGACCTCGTATCCTAGTGTTAATAATTTGCTGCAACTTTTCTCATCAACAGCGAAAGGAGAAGCGACGAACCCAAAATTAATTATATGAATTGAGTATGTGACTTTTCAGTCATATGGTAATAACAGCAACCCCTGTGTCAAGACTCTCATTTGATAAATAATAAATTAAATAATAAATTATATATATATAAGGTCAAGATTATTTTATATCGATATAAGTTATATTCTTAATCTTAATTGTTAATCCCATTTATATTTAACAATTATGATTTATTAAATATTTGAACTGTTAGATGCAAACAAATCAAAAATAAAGATTTTGTGTAAGACTTCTTATTCTTATACCAGTGTAAAAACTTACTTATATATATATATATATATATATATATATATATATATATATATATATATATATATATATATATATATATAACTAAAGGGACAACATAAATCTATAAATTCTTGTTACTCAATAAACAAAATCTTGTTCAAAGCAAAAAAAAAAAAAGAGAAAATGATCGATAGCCCCTCCCATTTTTTATCCTAGTTGTTATTTACATAAAAAAATGCATCACAAAGGGATTTATAATAAGTTTTGTTTTATTCTATACATATCACAATATTTATAATTGGTATGGACTTTTACTAACGGGATTAAGGTTTAGGCCCAATAATAATAAAAAAAGCTCGAAGATGAAGACTTAGTCAATAAGAAAAAAAAAATATATTACATGTACATGCAATCTCGCAAATGCACAACTAAATTGATAAAAGCTTGGGACTCATGACCCTCCTTAATAACTAATGTCTAAAGAACATACACGAGATTCCAACTAAGCCTACATATCTTGCTGCGTCAAAGGCAACCCGCATATGGAATAGGTTAATAACACTAACACAATCTACCAATAAGAATATGTACATAGCATTATATAAGGGTCACATAAGCATATCATGTCGCTAATATAAAGAGAGGCTCAAAACCCAAAAATGACCATCTTCTTTCATTTTATTTAAGCTCGTTACTCAAATATTGATTTGAGCATCGAAGTGTCTTGTAGGTAATATTTGTCCCAGACAAACAAACTTCTCTAGCAACAATATTGTTATAGTATTGTATTAAGTTACCAAAATTTATTTAGTTGTTGATTTCAATATAAATATTTGGAAGTCCATAACATATAACTTATTGTTCAGACCGGCTCACAGAGGCCTAATGCTGGTCCGATCATCTAAAGGTCCATCAGTGACCTAATTTAGAAGCATCCTACATTCAGCATATGGTCAAATCGTAGGGAATCTCATTCTTCCCTGAAGAACTCACCATTGTACACTCACTATGGTGAGGCAAACACCTCATTGCATTGAGGTTTAGGCTCATTTTTTTTCTCTCTCACATGATTTGGGAATATTTCCCCTCCAGAATAAACTCCTCCTTTACAATAGAAGAGGCACTTGTTATCTTGCACATTTATGAGCTCTTACTTTGCCGGATTCTAGAGCCACTGCTGCCTTACATACATTCCCTCTTTCGCAGCTTCTTATGCGACTACACTCTCCTTGAGGTTTGGTCTATACTCATGCCTTTTTAAGCATCCATACAAATGAGGTACTTTATCCTTTAAGAGATACAGACCTCACTCTGAATCGACAACAGTTCACTTATGGTTGATAAATAGGTAACTGATAAATAGATAATTTAGTCTTTGAAATTATTCTCCACACTTGTAATGTATTTAATTAATTTTATTTTTATATATAAGTTAAACCTTTAATTTATAAATCTCGTATCACATTTCTATCATTTTAGTTCTTAAAAAGAATTAACTTATAAAAGTTGTGTGAATTTAAAAACTAACCAACAGTCTAACGTATATAAGTAAAGAAGTAGGATCCTTTGACACCAGTGTCAAATTTCAAATTTGACACCTCATCTGAGAGCCGTTAGATAAAAAAAGATCAATGGTGTCACATGCTTACAAATCAGAGTCAGATGAGGTGTCAAATTTGAAAGTTGACACTGGTGTCAAAGAATCCTACCTAATAAGTAAAAGAGAAAAAGAAGTCTAATGTTGTTGGAAATTTCTAATCTCTTGTCATAGTTACAATAAGTGTGACACTCACCTATTTAAAAAAAAATAAAAAAAGAGTGGCACATCTTTTTATGGTGTGAGAAGGGTTTGTTTGCGGAATTAAAAGTAAAGAATAATTTCAGGTACTGATATTTTTGAAATGGTGAAGTGCCATTAATGATAAATGACCTACAAATCAGAATGCATGGTGAAGTAGGATGCTTAAGGCACTTCAGCATTACAATAAATATCTCCCTGCATTCATAACTCCTTGAGAGTCATCAGTGACTTATAAATGAGAATCAATTCAAAATAATTGTCGCAAAAAATAAAGTAGACACATCACAAGAATATACTGCTGAAGGCTGAATCTAGTTTCCCACATAGTTGCTAATATTTATGGTATTGAACTAATTAAAGAAAGCAGAAACAATTGTATTATGTGTCAACTCATGGGCAAAAGGGTCTACCCGAACGAGTCCTATGGCTTGGAATGGTGAAGTGCCTTATTCTTCCTTCTTGTTCCCTCAAATACCCTTCACACAGAAAAGCTTTTGAGAACTTATCCTCCACCTTCCTATCCACATCATGCACAAACACATCAGTTTCACCATGTTCTCTGTTCCTAGCAATCAAACCAGCTGTGTAAATTGCACTCATTCTCCCTGGTGCCCCTTCAAAGTAACCTGTGGGTGCATCAACCATGATCACATCCCAATCTATGTCATAAACCTCACTTGGAAACCCTTTGTGTGCTAATTGGCACTTTGAAAATCTTGGGTCTGTCACCTTTTTGCAATCCTCTTCAATTCCAATCTTCATTAGTTCATCAGCTTGGTGAACCTTTGTATCATACACCACATGGTAAGATTCCAAAGTGGGAAACTTGTGTTGGATTTGGTCAATCCAAGACTTGTCTTCCTCAAGGAAAACCGTACGGCCACCATAGTTGAGTGATGTCCACATGAGGCTATCATGACCAAGGCCAAACACAAGGAAGTTGCAGGGTGATTTCTTCTGCAGAACTCTTGCTGATACTGAGATCTCATGAAGGGTCTGTTGAGGGGTAATGTTTGTAGTGGCGTAATGGATAAGGGCATTGGCTAAAGATGGAGGAGCTTTGGTGCATGTGGGTGTTAAGGGGAGTGAAGGGCATGGTGTGGCTTTTTCTGTTGCTGGTGTTGTGGGTTGTGGTTCTTCTTCTGCTGAAGTTATTGTGTTTGACTTTGACAAGTTGGTCTGTGATTGCTGAGAAAATGATGATATAGATGATCTGAATAGCAAGAAGAAGAAGAAGAGAAACACAAGGCAGAGAAGGGCTACCTTGAGAGTGCTTGTGAATTGGGTTTTGGATCTCATGGTTTATTGATAGGATAGGAGGTAATGGTTTTCTTTCTCCGGAGAAAGACAGGATCAAAGGAAGAGAATGATGATAAATAAGGTCTTAATGGTAGATATGATCAGTTTCATTTGAACATGAATATGGGCATTTATGTGAAAATGGTAGTGTTGGAAATCTGAAAATTTGCTTGAAAGTAAAGCCAAGGTTGTGTCAAAAGAGAGAAGGGAAAAGAAATAGTCACAGACTCACAGCAGAGAGATTCATAGTCATGAGGTGTCATATACCTACTGAAGGAATCATTGGGTGGAGAACACCTACCGTTTGTTGAGCTGGTGGTGGGGCTCATGGAGACATCATGGGATCCTAAGATATATTTTCTTTTGGATACAAGATATATATTTCTTTGTAAAGTTAACAACAGTGATATATTGCAAGGGACGACTTAAAAGTAAAGAAGAGCAGTAAAGGTATTTGGAAACATGCATTTATTTTATCATATAATTAGTATTTTTGATATTGTAAGATATAATTTTATTATATATATATATATATATATATATATATATATATAAAGTGAATGTAGATAACTTATCTACATTCATTCTCAAAACGATGTCGTTTTGGATTGAAAAATTAAAAAATTATAATAAAAAAGATTATTATAACCCTAAAATAAATTATAGTTATAAAAATATTTTGATTTTCGCCTCAAAACGACGTCATTTTGAGCTTAATGTAGATAAGTTATCTACATTAACTGTAGAAAAAGCGAACATATATATATATAGGGTTCGCTTTTTCTGCAGTTACTGCAGATAACTTATCTGCAGTAAGCCCAATACGACGTCGTTTTAGGGCGAAAATCATGGTGCTTTTGTAATTTTGATTTATTTCAGGGTTATAATAGTCTTTATATTTGTAATTTTTTAAAATTTCAATACCAAAACGACGTATAAATGCAGATAACTTATCTGCAGTAACTGCAGAAACATTTTTCCCACATATATATATATATATATATATATATATATATATATATATATATATATATATATTTATGTTTTTCCTTATATATATATATATAAATGTGTAGAATTCATTTTTTTTCTCTCTCTTCTCTTCACATAATTCCATATGAACTCCACGTACTTTTATATTATGTATATATAAAAAATAAAATTAAAAAATTAACCCCTTATTGTATTGATTAGAAATGAAGGAAAGAAATGTGGATCCCCATGATTTTGACAAGAAAGCTAACTAAGGTACCTTTAACCTTTGGGTGCTTATATATTGGTCAAAGTTTGTTGAACAACCGTGGGTTGAATAATTGATATTTTATAAATATTTTATCTTCTTATATATAATATAGAACATCTCGATTCTGTTGGAAATTCGAATATATTAGACCTTTTTTAAAAATAATAATTTAAAAAAAAAATTAATGAAAAAACGAAATGCCACCTAGAGAAGGTATCAGACAACTGACTCCATTAAAATAGAAGAGATCACGGAGTAGTTTCAAATTGATTATTTGTGAAATTAAAGCACTGAAAAATGAAAACTGAACCTTTTAAAACGTTTTGCCATTCCATTTTTTATTCATTTTGTCCTTACAATGTAATATTTCAGGAAATTTATACTTCACTTGGTATTAAATGTGTCATATTGTTAGGTTTTGAAGCCAACATAGTTTTTAATAAAAAGTTAAAAAAAATTGATTTTTTATCTAAAAGAAAGTGTTCTTGAAGTTGAAGTACCACATGAAGTGCTGTGGAGAGTCCAAATAAAAAAGGGTGGTGTGGAATCACATTTTGGGGAATGGACAAATTGTTTTGGGCATATATGGTCACGCACCTGCAGCAGTCCCATGTGATTTTGGGCGTGCAATTAGTAATAAGGAAGAAATGGGTTTGAGAAGGAGAATCTATAATATGATAATGTGGTTTGTGAATTGTAATTTGGAAGTAACTGAAAAAGTAAGTTTATAAGGTCGAGGCGTTGCAGAGAAGCACTACGGATAGAAATATTTATTTGAATTGGTTCTACTGGATGGGTAAAGGAGATGGGAGTTTTGTCCATTAAAAAACACTGAAATTGCAAAGCATCTTAGTATATCTGCACTACCTGAAGATGCCATCAAACATCCGTTAAAGATTGAAGTAGAATATTGTTTCCATAATTGGGTGAGACAAAGCATTGGAACAATACATGCATTTAAAATTCTTCACATAGCAGTGTCAAGATTTGTACATGTACCACTAGTGTTGGTTTCTCCTTAATTGGGTGAGACAAAGCATTGGAAAAATGCATGCATCTAAAATTGTTTATTACATTTATCTTTATCATGACTAGCACCACATGCTCTTTTGCCAACTCAAAACCATAGTTATCATATACCTTTCCTTCTTTTTGGTACAATAGAGATCCATTGATCTGAGTCATTCAACAACAGGTTTAACCTGTCCAAGTGGCAAAGATAATCCAATCCCAATATCTTTAAAACAATGTCATGAGATTCAGTCGACTCAATCATTTTATATAATTAGTTGTTTACAATTTTCTCTGCCCTATACCTGAGGCTTTGTTCATCACACATTAATACAACAATAAATAGGCTTCGTGATGATTTCAAATGCACAAAACTTTTCACTTACAGAAAGTGGAAATTATACGATAGCTGCTGAATAGGTTTCGAACAAATAGGATAAGATCATCTTGTAGTCTCCAGATCGAAATCCAGTGTTGTGATCAATAAAGTATGGAACCTGTAAGGGACAAATTTCCTATTCATGCAAGGATTTAAGTTGATAAATCAGAAAATGACCAAAAATAGCAAAAGGATTAGTAAGACATGAAAAATCCACCTCCTATCATTTTGTGTTTTGTACGAATTATCCATTATTGGACGTAACCACCTACCTACTGATATGGCAGTAAATCCATTGCAAAATTTCTAACTGTGGACATATAACCAACAGATCTAGAAGCATACAATTTCATTTCAATTAAACTTGTACACTATTTTGTAAGTTACACTGATTTCTAACCTCTTTAGATCCAGAAGCATCCAACAGCAAGTTCATTCGGCGAGATCCTTCTCCTACATTTTGAAGAAGGTAAGGAAGTTCCAACTCGCATAATGCCTCACGCACAATTCGAGCATTCTGGAAAGTGAAATTTCAAATCTAGAAAGTTAGAAGAAGAAATATATCCAACCACATAGTGAGATAGCAGGATAATTGACGATACAAGGGCAGAGGCAAAACATGATATGGATAGCAAATCCAGTTCCTCTTATGATCCTATTACTAACCCACTGAATGACAAATGCATTACCTCAGCACATTATATGAATGTCTTCTTTCAACCAGGGTTGAATTTAAAGCAAGTATACCAAGGGAAAATAAAACTGATTCTTTTTTCAGACCACAATTTAGGCTAACTGAAAAGTATGTTGAGCAGATAAGCAAAGTCCTCTCAATGTTTGCATATGGAAAAACATTATCTTACTGGGTTATTTTCAAATGAGAAGAGCTCCAACTTTCCAGGAGGAGAGTCAGGCCTGGAACGTTCCCACAGTGTCATTCCTCTACCTGCTCGAAGTATTGTTGGCATCCATCCAGTGAAAATAGTGCTGCACAAGAGTGGGTTATTAAGAGAAAATAAAAATCGAAAGTTTCTCTTTATCAAAGCCATGGAATATGGAACAACCATTAGCACAGAGAGTCTCTGGTAAATGTCATCATCTCTTTCTCACCAGACTCACAACCATCATTTATATTTGCTTAAGAAAACCTATTCAGTTCTCCTTAATAATTACTTTCTAGGTTGCCTCAAGATGAGGAACATACTATTTATGTCACAGGCATTATACACAATTTAGTTACATGCCAATATGCTTTACTGAAAAGATTACAGTAAGATATTAATAGTCCCTCCTAACCTGTAAATGCAGCTATTTTGTCTGATGAGGATTGAACTCAATTTTTCTCCTCTATAATATGGGATTTATAATATTTTATATACTCATCCAAAAAGAGATTTATATCTAATACCTCTCCAAAAGTCCCGATGATGGACTTCTGCCTTCTCCATATCGCTCAAACAAGTACTTTACAATATCCCCTACAGCAAGAAACCAAGAATAAAACACTGAAGTAAGAGAGGGATGCAGGCATTCAGCATCATGTTAGATGTTGGAGTAAAGCTACAAAGTGCATTTAGTAAATTAAATGACAAGCTCATTAAAATAAATCAGTACACAACATTCAATGGATTGAATTGGTTAAAAGCATTTATTAAGACAACTGAAACAGGCACAAATGAAAGTTTAGTTAGGAAAATGTGGAGAAGAATAATAATAAGTCTTTAACATGAATGAATCAATCCAAACCTGTAACAAGTGACAACTATGAAAATGGTGGTGATTTATGGCATTGCCACTAAACATGATAAGCAGCAACCATTTGGAGAAAGAACAGGGAGAAAGCTTCCTTGCTTACCACTTTCATACATTGAAATACCACTATTTTGATCAATGAGGAAAGGAAACCTACAAAAGAACATCATAGCAACATATTTTAAATGGAAAGAATATTTAAAATAATAAGGAGAACATCACACGATATCATCAGTATTAAATATGTAGCAAAATGTAAATATGCAACAAAAATGCAATAGAAATTAAAATGCAAGTCCTATTAAAATTTCTTTAATAGGATTAAAGCTTATATAATATAGAAAGGAAAAATACTGACAGAAAAATTATGAGATATGATACCCCAAAAACTGCTTTTAAATTTTCAATATTCAGAATACAGCAATAAAATCATCCACAGACAAAAAGAAAAAATGTCATAAAAAACCACATACTGCTCTTTACCACCAGTTCTTCTGACCACCTCTCTGTGTCTTACAGAACCCTTAGGACAAGGATAGACCTATTGATGAAACCAATAGGATTAATATTAGGGGAACTGGTTGACAAAAGTCAATCATAAATCAATTACTCAAGTGACAAATAAGTATATCAATTTATTGATGTTAATTAACTTTCATACAAAGAGAAAAAATTTCCTGTTACTTTAGTGAGCTACATAAGCTCTGCTTTGGCAAAATCAATATCCAAGCTAATGAGTGCCATTCAGTACTTATTTTCATGTAATTCAGCATTCTAAAATAATTTGTGTTGTGTCCAAAATTTCAAATATAGAGCCTATAAATAAATTTCCATCCTCCATTTAAATTATTTTGATGAATCAAATGAAGTTGACTGAACTATGTCATTGTAGTGCTCTGTTAAGACAGACAAAACTCATTCAAGGGAACGGGAGATATTGAATGTGGTTGCAAGTGTATGTGAAGTATCTGCAGCTAACCTCTACAGAAATATCTAATTCAGTCATGGCCTCCCGTACCCTTCTACAAAAGGGACATGCCTCTGTTGACAAACAATGTTTGAAAGATTTAACATCGGATGATTACAAACTTTAATGATAAAATAACATAATCTGTAAGAGGTAAATACCAAAAATAAATAAAAAAAGTTTAAGAATCTTAGGATGAAGGTTCAGTTGAGGACTAGTAAAAGAAACTACTTTTATCATGGTAGAGTATTATTAATGTAGAGGCCAAGACTGGTGCTTAGCAACAGTAACACGTAAAAAAGAAATAAATTAACTTCTAGGATGTTGACCAATTTCAATAACTAAGTCATAGAAGAAAAAAAATGTTTCCCTGTTATTAGGAATAGCATCACCAAGTAAGAAGCATACCAAACTCAAAAAGCTGCAAACTTATAGGAACATTTGAAGTGATCCCTTTGTTCAATGAACTCTCAACTACAGATTTTGTTCCCCATGCAAACCTTGACAAGCTGGCCAAGGAAGATGTTGCTAGCTACCATTCATCATCAAACTTAAAGGTTAGTCAGTTACAAGGTGCATGCAGAACATAAAAAACTCCTAGCATATATTTCTTTCTATGCTCACTTAGATGGCACACAACTTCATCACAGGAGCAGATGAAATTAACTGTATTAAAATATACCTCCATTTAAAGGTACCAAAAAATACATACTGTGGAAACTAATTGGTTGGGAAGCAGGAAGAGAGGGGAAAGGAATACTCAAAATAACAAAATTATATTGATGATATTGGTGTGAAGGATGTTAAACAAATTACATAATGATATTACGAGATATTTTTTAGATATTCTATCACAGAACAACAAATATGATGGATTCTGCATAGACCTTCTCTTCCTATTTAGAGCTACCGAAAAGTCATTTATATGAAAACTATGTATAAATCATAGTTGCCATGGAAATTATCAAATTTATGACATAAAGATTTGGGAACTGAATCACCAACAATAACGTGTTAAAATGGTAAACAGAAAAAGAAGGGAGCAAGAAAATATTTGCAGAAACTTAAAAAAACTGGATTTTGCAATAAAATTATTTTTTGTTTGGGAACAATTAACCCCTCATGTGGTCAACATGTGATTTATTAATTCACTTTATTGACAACTGAAGCGGGTAGTAGTTATTAAACAAAAATATTTTCACCAAGAATTGCTTTCCTATATTCTTTTCCAAAATATTTCACAAGCCTTCATTGCATTTCTACTACATACATATATGATAAAATGCATAATGATTTTAATACTAATAGCACAACTTAAGGACCCTGTAACTTTTGAAACAAAGTTGTACTGCGGATAAAGGCAATATAGGTAATAGGTATATTTTATCTGATATTATAAAAAATAAATGTTAGTGCCAAAACTGCTTAACTAAAAATTGTAAGAGGGCAAAGTAAGAGATACTGCAAAACCCCTCAGAAATCACTTTCTGAATGAAATATCTGAGATTCTAAAAGGGTCACCTCCAAAGTAAAATTGCGTTGCTGAGAAGGATCTCGTCCCTGCCAGAAGCAACAGATGACAAACAGTAATAAACAAATAATATAATGAATAAGAAAATCAAGATGAAAATTGGAAATACTAGTTAAGAAAAACAATATATGAAAATGAAATATTTGGAGATACTGTCAAATGCAAGACAAAAACTCTGTCAAAAGAGGAAGATAATATATATACAAGGACATCAAGATAAAAATCGGATACAATAATTAGTATGACAAAACTAAGGCAATATAATGTTTTAAAGTGAGATACTAAATATAAAGAAAAATAGCTTTCAATCTTGAATGGCAACAAGTTCAACGTTGAGAATTATTTTACAATTGACATAGCAACAAACAACTATAACAAAAGCCTCTTTTCTACTAGGTGAGTTCTGCTAAATGTGTAACAGGTTTACAGTGTTGTTTCCAAATTCACATTATTTATGAGTAAATACCTTTTGGGTTCTCGTCAAAAAATACTAAATCCATTTTAATCCCTTAAAAAGAATAACTTCAGTCGCTCTGAAATTTCAGTTCTTTGAAATTGTAATTCCTCGAAAATTCAAAGAAAACATATTAGTCCCTCCTCAAAAGGATTAATACTGTTAATTTTTTTGATTAAAATAGTTTCCATATTTTTTTTTAGGAGCAAAGGGAATTTACTCTTAATTTATTGTTATAGTTAACTAGCAATGAATAAAGTATCAAATTCAGTTCATACATACATACATAAATTGAAGTATAAGAAATCATTGAACATAGAAAGATAAGATTATTAGTGAGTAGGGAAAGTGAGTTACAGAGAAAAGCTTGAGCAAGGGACAGAGAAAAGAGAGAAGGGATGTGGATGGTGTTGAGTGTTGGGTGGATTGTGCGTCTGATTTTGATTTTGATTTTGATTTTGCAACAATTCTGAAACTCTGCAAAGGCCAAACCCTATTGGCGAAGCCTACGCTATTGGTGTTGTTTGAGGATACACGTGGCGATTGCGTTATGAACGGAGAAAGAGAAAGATGAACAGAGTTGGAGCATAATAATGACATCTTTTCTCCACTCTGCTTCTCCGCTTTACACTGCTTCACACATTCATTCACCAAAGGCAATCTCAGTCGAGTGCTATCTATCTACCACCACTTTTCAAGTTGAGTAAATATGCATTTTGGTAATCAAAAGTTAAAACTCCTTATAAATCTTAATTTTGTAATTAGATTTCTAAATTCAAATTCAAATTCAAATTATATTATTTAAAAAACCTCTCTCTTTTTTCTGATTATCACTTTGATGTTGAGATATTTATGTAGTAAAATAAATTCTATATTTATTAATAATATATCGTGTGTTCGTAAGTGTGTTAAGCATAAAGTCACTAGTAGAATTTGAATAATGTGCATAGAGTTATAGATTTAAACTAGTGTCACATTGTATAGGGACCAAAATAAAGAGATTAATACAGAGAAATTAATGTTTGTGGGATGATTTTGGCCGTGCAAATGAACAAAACAAATGTGGTGATATATTCATTAAACACCAACCACTATACCATAGAAACCTATTAGTTATAACAAGATACAATTTTCTCTTGCACCGGTCATGCCTGCTATTTTTTATTTTATTTGCACTCGTAGTAAATTGTATATTCATTGTGTGGTTGAAACACCAACCACTGTACCATAGTGTTTCGGATATTCCATATCTGGGCGGCCCAGTGATTTGGGCCCAAACTTCCTAATTTCTTTTACGTTAGTCTTGTTGATCAATCACTACCAACCCTTCTTTCTTCTTGTCCCTTGGGCGACAGCACCCTCAGGTGAGACACCAAAATGTCTCACCTCAGGATATCAACCTGTGGGAGATTGCCTCAGGTACCATAAATAGTAACCCCTTTTATGAAGACAGTATCAGTAACTGCCACCTCCGATGCAGGGACTGTACCATTGCTACCGCAATAATGTCAGCCATCCCTAGCATATTCCGAGGAGGGTTGACCCCCTCACCTACCCACTCCAGGGAGATACCTCACCCTCTCATAAATACCCCCTTAAGACAATAGAGAGATATCTTATGTATTGTTACTCTGTTAGTTTTACAAGTCTGTAATTATCACACACACACCCCCATCATCCTGGTAGTAACATTCATACTTGGGACACTGTTGTCTAGTTTGGTCTTTATTTGTGCTAGTGATATAACTCATACAGTGACCCTTATCCCTCAAAAAGAACATATTGAACTTGTAGATCCCAACGGTACACATAGCAACTTATTAGTTATAATATAATTTTGATTATATGATTTTACATTGTACCAATAATCTATTAATCCAATATTTTAGCCAAATCGATGTTATCCGAATGATTAGTGTGAGTCAAATATGAGAAAACATGTGATTATTTGAAAAGAATGGTGAGATATTATGTGAATATTTATTGTTGGAGAGGCCTAGATCACGGATACGATAACTCATACAATAGTATGATCCAATGATTATTTGTCGTTTTAAGTGTTTATCAACTATTTTTTGTTGGTAGGCTTATCAAGTAATTTATTTATTGCCTACTTGTTGCTGTTATTTTTAACTTCTTTTCTTTTTATAAACAAAAGTTTAACCTAATATAATTTTATAAAAAATTCTAATCATAAAAAGAGTTATTTTACAATTAAAAAAAAGGAAATGCTTAAAGCTCCCGGAGGAGGTTTTTTTACTATGCATGTCAATTTTTTAGAACTAATATTTATTTTTTAATTTTGCTTTTATTCTAACTTATATTAATAAATTTATTATTTACTTTAATAATTTATTTTAATAATAAATTTTTTATTCTTCTCCCTTCAAAACCCGGAATAACGTTATATGATTACACAATAACTTTTACCTTTGTTTTTAATTTTTTTTAACTTTAACTTGCAAAATAACTTCTAGTTTTAGAAATGGGGAAATAATGTTTTTATATAATAGGAAAAAAGTTATCTTATGTAGTAAAATCAAAATTATAAGTGAGACCCACAAGTAAGAGAAAAAAGAAAAGATGTGAGACTCACTCATCTTTTATATACATAGGAAATTTGTTTATCTTATACAACATAAAAAAATATGGGAAAAAATTCGTTTATAATTTTTTGTTACAAATTTTTATAAATTATACTCTGTATTTCTGAAAATACACAGTATACATAATATAATGTAATTTATAAAAATTTATAAATATAATCCTAGCAAATATAAATTGTGCAGACTCCATAATTTAGTGATTATCTGATAATCCCGTCTATACTTTATTAAGTGCATGTTAATAAAACAAGCGGGGGTTTACAAAAGTTTGCTTGCACACTTTTCTCTTCCTAAAAGACTAGTTTTGATTTTGAATAACAATTGACGAGTGATTGAGTTGGTGCGGCAGCTGAAGAAACCACAGTTGTAATATTATTAGACTTACAATCTTGAATTTTCTGACTAATTTTGCAATCCCTTACTGTGTCTGTGTAAGTTTAACGTGAAGATGAGAGCATTGTCCCTCTTACGCAAATGTTGTAAACAACCATTGCCATTTCCTACTTTCACTTTCGCTCCTTTCTCCACTTCTAAGGTTAACATCTTCGATCGCGAACTAAAGCGCAAACAGGTTTTTTTTTCCCTTTTTGCTTTTTCAATTTTTTTAATCTCTAAAATTTTACTTCAATTCAAATGATTTTAGATTCGTTGCGTTGTTGTTGTTGCAGCGCGACCGAGCTGCATGGTTGATGCCCTCAAACGACCCTTTACTTCATACTGTTTCTGAAAATCTATTGGATCGCTTGCAGGTTCCCTACTTCTTATTTATATTTCCCATTTTGTTTCTAAATTCTAATAAAATCAACACAAATCAAACCATTGCATTAAACCCTCTTTTGAGTTTTGCCTTTTTCTTTAGGACTGTAAGAAGACTTTTCCAACAGCGTTATGTTTGGGAGGCTCTTTGCAAGCTATCACGCGCTCACTTCGCGGTCGTGGTAAGAAACTCCGATATTCTCTCACCTTGTTCTCTGAGCCACTCCCAATATAAGCTTATTCAGGAGATAGCATTTTTATTTTATTTTTTGGATATATCTGAAAACAGCAAAGAAGAACATGAGGGAAAATGATGAAACCCATATCAGAGAAGGAGAAGAGACCAGAAGATGAATAACATGCAATGCTTTCTTAAAATGAATACACTCTCGATTACACAGTACACAAGGTATATATACAAGGGTAGTTAACCGACTAACTAACTTGACTAATACAAATGTTGACACATCATCTAAGTAATGACACATCATCTAACTTCATTATCTCTCTGATTACACCCTCCCGCAAGCTGGACGATGGATGTCCAAAAGACCAAGCTTGGAGACAAGTAATTGAAAGGGCCCTGGATGAAGTGGCTTTGTAAAAAGGTCAGCTAGTTGATCCTTTGTGGAAACAGGAAGCAACTTAAGAAGACCAGCTTGTAGCTTCTCTCGGATAATGTGACAATCAAGCTCAATGTGTTTGGATCTTTCATGGAAGGCTGGATTGTTAGCCAGATATATGGCAGACTTGTTATCACAATAAAGTGTAGCAGGAACTGCTGTGTCGACTTGGAGATCAGTAAGAAGAAATGATAGCCATTGTATTTCACAAGTTATAGAGGCCAAAGCTCTATACTCAGCTTCAGTGGATGACCTGGAGATGGTATTTTGCTTCTTGGCACGCCAGGAAATAAGAGCAGGTCCAAGAAATAAACATTGGCCAGTAATGGATCTTCTAGTGTCAAGACAAGACCCCCAATCAGCATCTGCAAATCTAGATAAATGAAGATCATTGACTCTTGGAAAGAACAGTCCCTGAGCAGGTGAAGATTTGAGATATCGCAGCACTCTTGTGGCTGCCTGAAAATGGAGTGTCATAGGATTTGCAACAAATTGAGAGAGTTGTTGAACAGACAAGGTGATATCCGGGCGAGTTGTTGTAAGATAAAGCAATCGACCAATGAGACGCCTATAGGATGCAGGATCAGAATAAGCTTCTCCTTGCACACGTTGAAGTTTCAAAGAGGGGTCCATTGGTGTACGGACAGCCTTAGAAGCTAAAAGACCAGCATCTTGTAATAGTTCTAAAGTGTATTTCCTTTGATTAAGAACCAATCCTTCAGGGGAAGTGTTGACCTCAAGTCCCAAGAAGAATTTCAAAGTACCCAAGTCTTTTATCCTGAATTCAGTATCAAGAGAGTGTTTAACATTGACAATCTCTTGAGAGTTGTTGCCAGTAATGACTATGTCATCAACATAGACTAGGATTGCTGTAAAAGATGATCCATTGTGTCTTGTAAACAATGAATAATCGGCATGAGATTGCTTATAACCAAGAGAACCAAGAAAAGAGGACAATCTGGCATACCATTGCCGACTAGCCTGTTTCAAGCCATATATGGATTTGTGAAGTTTACAAATCTTTCCAGAAGCAACAGCAGGTGAACCTGGAGGTGGTAACATATAGACATCTTCATGTAACTCTCCATGAAGGAAAGCATTATTTACGTCTAATTGTATAAGATTCCAACCTCGAGCTGCAGCAATGGAAAGAAGCACTCTCACTGTAGTCATCTTTGCTACTGGTGAAAAAGTATCAAAGAAATCGATTCCTTCCATTTGATTGTATCCTTTAGCAACCAACCTTGCCTTGTATCTTTCTATTGATCCATCAACTTTGAGTTTTATTTTGTATACCCATTTACATCCAATGGGTTTAATACCAACAGGAACATCCACTAAAGACCAAGTGTGATTAAAATCCAAAGCATTGAGTTCCTTTTCCATAGCATCAATCCAACACTGATGTTGTGCAGCCTGTTTATAATTTGTAGGTTCTACTAGAGAACTTAAGGTAAGGCAATAATGTTTATAATGAGAGGAGCAGTTATCAAAAGTATACACCTTGGAAAGAGGATGCATGACAGATGACTTACCTGGAAAAGAAGATTCAGCTTTGGCAGTAGAGAGACTCCAATGATAATCATCCAAATATTTAGGTGGTTGTGTATGTCTAGAAGATCTTCTAGGATAATGAGGAAGGTCTGATGGAAGTTGGATGTCACTGTTTTCTGTTTGGTTTGGTGATGCTGAAGCAGTATCGGATGTAGGAATAGGTGTCTGATTGAGGTTTGGGGTGATGGTTTGTATTGGTTCAGGTGTGGGAATAGAAGTTGGATGTGATGTGGGATTCTGTTTTTGGTTATCAAAGTCATAATCGACAATTATATCATGTGATGGATAGGGTCTAACATAATTGGTGTCTGGTAATGAAGAATGAAGGAGAGGAAAACAGTCTTCAAAAAATTGTACATGTCTAGAAACAAATATACACCCTGCAATAAGGTCATACAGAATGTATCCTTTCATCCCAGGTTTATGACCAAGAAAGATGCATTTTCTTGCCCTTTTTGAAAATTTTGATCTATGAGACATAAGTGTAGAAGCATAAGAGAGACAACCAAACACTCTTAGATCATTTAAATCAGGTGCTGTTCCAAAAAGTTTTTCAAATGGTGAGAGAAATTGAAGTAAAGGAGTGGGAATTCGATTGATTATGTGGACAGAATGAGATATAGCATAGGACCATAATTTGGGATGAATGTTTGCCTGAAAAGCAAGAGATCTAGCAACATTTAGGATATGCTTGTGTTTTCTTTCTACAATCCCATTCTGATGGGGTGTTTCCACACAAGACTTTTGATGAAGAATTCCCTTTTTATGGAAGAAAGAAGGCATGTTGAACTCAGGACCATTGTCAGTCCGAAGGATTTTTAGAAAAGCTTGAAATTGGTTTTCCATATAAGAAATGAAACCTGCCAAATGATGAGCAGTCTCTGATTTATGTTTCATGAGTATAACCCAAGTATATCGTGTGTAATCATCAACAAGAGTAAGAAAATATTGATGACCATGTACTGATTTTATAGCATAGGGACCCTAAATATCAGCATGTAACAACTCAAGAAATTTGCTAGATTTAGATATGCTAATTGGAAAGGGCAATTTGTGTTGCTTAGAAAACTGACAAACATCACATGGAACAACATGCTTATTTGGAATGAAACTATATTGAGAAGACAAAGTTTTTAAAACTGTATGAGAAATATGGCCAAGCCTATAATGCCAAAGTACATGTTCTGTATCAGAACCATTACAATAGAAAGAATTCCTATGACATGTGGTAGATGCTAAAATTGATGGTGTGGTCTTCGAGATGATTAGCACATAGAGCCCTCTTCTGAGTTCAGCTGAACCAATCAGTTCCTTGGTATATTTCTGTACAATGGCACAATTTGTGTTAGAAAAGGTAAGGGAATAAGGTGAGGTTTTTAGAAGCTGTGGAACAGAAATCAAATTGACTTTGAACTCAGGCACATATAACACATTTATCAAACTGAGTTTGTCAGTTACATGAATAATTCCACTGAACTTAGCTGTAATTTGATGACCATTTGGTAAGCTAATGGATACAGGAGAAATTTCATGCAAAGATGAAAAGCTGGATTGTTGGAAGCATATGTGGTCTGTGGCACCTGTATCCAAAATCCAGTCATGAAATTGTTTACCTGCTGAGTAAGGTGTTTCTGCACTCATGGCAGAAGCTTGAACCAAATTGGTCGAATGCTGAATTGGCTGTGTGTTGGAATTTAGCAATCTCAGCAATTGTTGATGTTGCTCAGCAGTGAAAGGTGTGTTAGAATCCATTGGAAGACTGATCTCTGATGTAACAGCCAGATTTGAACTCCTTTTATTCTTGTAGCCAGGAGGGAATCCATGCTTGAAGTAGCAACTTTCAATGGTATGATTTGTCATTTTGCAATGAGTGCAATATTTCCCTCTACCTCTGCCTCTGCCATTGGTATTGCCTCTGTTATCAATTGGTTTTCCTCTTCCCATGTTAGGAATATTCTTGAATGCAGAAGCATGAGTGAAAACATGAGATGTGTTTGTTATATCATTATGAACTATGGAACTCAACTTCCTTTCTTGTTGAATGATAATGGAAAAAGCTTTGTTAACAGTAGGAAGAGGATCATTAAGCATGACCTGTGAACTGATATGTTCATATTGACTGTTTAATCCCTTGAGAAATCTAATGACTCTATCTCTATCTCTGATTTTTCGCATGCTAGTGTAACCACCACAAGAACATTGTACCTGACACATGCATTTTGGTAGAGGAATCAGGTTGTCAACTTCATCTCAAAGAATCTTCAACTCAGTATAATATGCAGCCACTGTTCTATCTCCTTGCTCTAATTTGCAAATATCATCTTGCAAATCTGAGATACGAAACACATCAGCCTGAGAAAAACGATCCTTAAGATCATTCCAAGCATCTTCAGCATAATCAATCCATAAAATCGATTGTGCAATAGATTTATCAACTGATCTCTGGATCCAGCCTAGAACAGTGTGGTTGCATCTTTCCCAATCTGAGAAAGTTTCATCAGATCTTGAAGGAATTCGCATAGATCCATCTATAAAGCACAATTTATTCTTGGAACTGAGAGCCATTCGCATAGCTCGTGACCAGGAGTGATAGTTCGATCCATGCAAAGATGGTGAAACAAGTATGGTGGATGGATTTTCACTAGGATGAAGGTAGAGAGGATTTCTTGGATTATTGAAAAAATCAGAAAATTGAATCTGATCCTTTTTTGGATTGTTTACCTCATTGAGGTTCTGGTTTGGATCTTGGTTATTGAGGTTTTGGTTTTCTGTTTGGTTTAAATTCTCCATGGTTAGATGCGATGCATCCATGGAAGAAGAACTTGAATCAAAAGTAGCGGAAGATGATGGATACCAGAGCTTCAAGCTCTGATACCATGAAAACAGCAAAGAAGAACATGAGGGAAAATGATGAAACCCATATCAGAGAAGGAGAAGAGACCAGAAGATGAATAACATGCAATGCTTTCTTAAAATGAATACACTCTCGATTACACAGTACACAAGGTATATATACAAGGGTAGTTAACCGACTAACTAACTTGACTAATACAAATGTTGACACATCATCTAAGTAATGACACATCATCTAACTTCATTATCTCTCTGATTACAATATCCACCGACTTATCCATTATTATTATTATTATTTTTTTTAATCTCCTCTTATATATCATTGGGTTCATCTATCACCGACCCCAATTAACTTGGGTTAAAGATGCTCGACCGACTCATCCATTACCGAGCTAATCGTGTCGGGCCTATTATATAGATGGCTCTCTCAAGACCATTTTCTATTCTCGGGCTTGAACCCGAGACATTTGGTTAAGGAGATTAAGCTCCTTACCATTTGAATTAATATAAATCTTTAGTGCATTAGATGCACTGAACCGTGCATTTGCCTATTCATTTTGTGACACGTGGATAAAAAAATATCAGATCATTTAAAAAAGCAAATGATGTGATGTTTTTTTGTCCACGTGTCATAAAATGATTGGACAGATACACTGAATTTTCGGTGCATTTGATGCACTAAAGATTTATTCGTTGTTGGTGATAGCTTTCTTTCTTGGTGTGTATATATAGGTGCATTCACATATGCTGAATTTGAGGAAATGATTTTAATTTAAACACTCCTTTTATTGAAAATAAGTTGTCCAAGAGATGGACATTTGACTGGCTTTTGTGCCTGTCTCCTAATTGCAAAATGGAGTGATTGTTCGCAGGTGCCACTGAAAAGCTTATTGTGATGGATGCGTCCTATGAGATGGTACAAGCTTGTAAAAATGCTGATGATGCGTCAGATGATGATACCTTTGAGACAGTTTTTCTGGTTGGTGATGAAGAATTCTTGCCTATCAAAGAAAGGTGATGAGTTAGTAGTACTGATATTTGATTATAGTTTTACACCTGATAGTTAATGATAATTTTACACTTGATATTGATTTTGATATTACAATTTTCATTTTGAGTCGGTGTATATATGGCTTGCAGCTCTGTGGATTTGGTTATAAGCTGCTTGGGGCTACACTGGACTAATGATCTGCCAGGAGCAATGATACAGGTACACTCTCTTATGCGGTTGTCATGATTGATTGGTTTACTGGCTTGGTTTGTGTTTGAGTTTATCTGTGTCTAATAGTGTCCCAGAAAGAGGTAATGTTTTTAAAATAAACATCAAATGGTACTCGGAAAAATGCATGGAAGAAATAATACAGCGTTTACTGTTTGGTTTTCTGCCTCCTTAAGCGTTTGGTGGGGTGGGGGTTGGTAGAATAGCCCCGAAATATTGAAGGCACAGATTTTGGTTCAAATCACTTCATTTAAGTATCCTGTTGCCGCCTTTTTTTTTCCCTTCTCGGGGTATTTTGGTAAATTTTTTTCTCAAAGTTCAATAACACTCAAAGCATACTAATAAAAATGGTGAGGAAAGAATTCCATAGCATGCTCAAGTTGCTGGTTTGTGCCTTCTAGGGATTTTTTCCCTGCTGAAACTTCACTTTGTGTAAGAACCGACTAAGAAGAAAACATTGTTATTAACATGTACCACAACATTTCAGACGCACTTGGGTTATGTATCATGGTATGGCCTAGGAGTGTGATAGTGAAGTTGGGATGACTTAAGGAGCAAGAGACTGGTACTTGCTGAAGTCACGAACCATAAGCTAGCCATAATAAATTTCAAGCTTCAAAGACGACCCACACAACAATAGATGACGTATAAAGACAACAAAATATACTTGAGACAATTAGATGTCAGAGAGCTGGTACTTCTTGTATTAATCATATAATGTTTTGTAGAAAGAGTCCTAAAGCATTGTCAATCAGTAGGAGTGTATGCACTCAATGCTCTCATGTATGTTGTTCTACTATTGACTACGCCACCCAATAACTACTCGTTAGAATATTAGTGTTATTGGTCTCATTGTTAGTTGGCTTGGGCTTGTACTACTAATATTTGTACTTGACCTAATTATAAGCACAGATTAGAGTATTGGGTTAATGTTTAGTTCATAACTCTAGACCATTCATTACAGTATTGTTAATTGGGTTTCTCTCTTTTCCTTTCTTCACTGTCTAAACTCTAAACCATATAATTTCAACATTACTCATTAGGCATTCCCTCCTAATCAAACTTTTAAGATAAAATCCTATACAGGAGGATATATAACTTTCTGGTTAGTTGATATTGAGTGTCCTTACATTTACGCTACATCTACTTGTCACGTGTGGGATGTGGTGACATTTATTGGACACGGGTTTGGTTCCTGCCACATCAAGGTGCCTTGCCTTGCGTGCTCTAGAGCCAGGCTTTCTGTAATTTTGCATTAGTTGGTGGTGTTCTGAATCTAGCCTTGATAAAACAAATAATATATTCTTGATTTCTAGATCTGTTTGAAAAAATAATCATTAGGGCGTCTGTGATCACTGATCAATGTTACCCTTTACGTGCTCAAGCATGTTTACATTCTTCTTGAACATCTGCAAATGCTTAAGAGTAAAAGAAAGAACAGAAAACAATGAGTTACATGGAAACAATATAAATATGGAAGGAGAAAACCGTCGATGGTCTAAGAATTAGTTTAGTGCGTGTTTGTTTCATTCTATTTTTGGAGAAATAGTCTCTTTCTTTCTTTTCTTTTTCCAAAGTTCTCTCAGGAAGCTGCTATAAGCTAATCCAAACACACAATTAGTCTCCAGACCCTCCCTCTTTGTAAAAGGAAGAGAGAGAGAGATTTTGTGTTTGGGGGGGAGGGGGGACTTTCTACAATTTGGGAAATACTGAACACCCCCCCCCCCCCATTCTGAGACAGAATAATAAACATGGGAAGCAGGGCCTCGTTAGTTGTGAAGGGCCTGACTGTAATATGTGTGTGATGGAATGGAACCAGAAAATTATATTAAGTAAAATAATGGAGACAAGCTCCTTACAACACTAATTCCAGATTTGAGAGACACTAGAAGACCCTTCCCCAAGCTCACCCTTAGGGCCAACAAACCTAGGCTCCAAGTGATCCCCAGATTCCCCACTCTTCACTCAATACATGCATACCTCACTCCCCACATTTCCCCTCCTTTTATCCTATCTCCTAAGAATATTTTAGAACTAACTAACTCTTTACCTTTTCTCTCTCTATAACAACCCCTATACTATTATTACCTTTACCCCTTATAATTTATGCCCATCAATACTTCCCTTCCAAAACTCACCCTGTCCTCAAGGTGAAGAGAGGATAGGTGATGTGAGAAAACATCCACCCACCCGGATTCCATTACTTGAAACATATTAACCCAATTGGCAACTTCAACGTTTTCATTTCATGAACCTCACCTACAGTATATTCCCGATTTACTGCACCCAAAATAGTAGCACTTCCAGACTGAACTGGTATATGCAAAAAAGAGTAGGCACATGGTGCCGCAAAACATCTGCTATCTCTTTCAAGTGCTCGAGGATAAAAGGTGGACTAGTCATTCCAATACGCGACATTGTGCATGCATCAGCTGGCAGTTTTGCTACTAAGGCATTCATTAAAATTGCAAGTTTGACACCATGTCACGATCATATGCTCTAGTGTCTTCACTACGAGTAGGAATAAATTGGGTTACATTTCGTGGGCCTGTATTAAAAAGGCCACTTCTGCCTGCAAAGTTATTAGAGTTGGGCTTCCCCTCTGACTGATTACTGGCCTTATTCATAGGTGTTGGAAGATTATAATGACTAGCTTCTTCGATTGAGTCAGACCTTACACGCTGTTAAGTACCTTGGGATACACCACCCCAAAAGCTAGCTCAAAGGGTGAGAGTGCCCAAGGCCTTATAAACTCCACATTAGTTGCACATACAACCAATGTGAGACTATATATCTCAACACGCCCCCTCACACAAGAGCCCATTGGGCTTGAAGAGTGGACAATGCAACAGGCTCAGCCTACCTGTGCTAAGAAACACCACAAGAGAAAGTGGGGGACGGCGAGGCTCTGATACCATGTTAAGTACCTTGGGATACACCACCCCAAAAGCTAGCTCAAAGGGTGGGAGTGCTCAAGGCCTTATAAACTCCACATTAGTTGCACATACAACCAATGTGGGACTATATATCGCAACACGCCCCCTCACACGAGAGCCCATTGGGCTTGAAGAGTGGACAATGCAACAGGCCCAGCCTACCTGTGCTAAGAAACACCTCAAGAGAAAGTGGGGGGCGGCGAGGCTCTGATACCATGTAAAGAACCTTGGGATATACCACCCCAAAAGCTAGCTCAAAGGGTGGGAGTGTCCAAGACCTTATAAACTTCACATTAGTTGCACATACAACCAATGTGAGACTATATATCGCAACACGCCCCTCACACGAGAGCCCATTGGGCTTGAAGAGTGGACAATGCAACAGGAGGAAGAGGTGTAGGAGAAGGCATGGAAGGTCCAGACTCAAAGATAGAAGGTGATGAATCTATTGAAGAACTGCTCTCCCCCTGAAGATGAGGACTTGGGAAAAAGGACTCAGATTCATGAAATGTGACATCCATTGAGACAAAGAATTTTCGACTAGTAGGATGATAACACTTGTAGCCTTTCTTATCAGAGGCATAACCAAGGAAGATACATTTGAGAGCCCTAGGATCCAACTTACTGCGAAGATGTTTATGAACGTGGACAAAGACAACACACCCAAACACTCGTGGCTGAAGACTCTGCATAGTGGGAACAGAGGGAAAAAATGAAGTCATTGAGTGAATAGGACTTACATTGTCAAGGACCTGAGAGGGCAAGCGGTTGATTAAGAAAGCTGCAGTAAGAATGGCATCTCCCCAGTAGCATTTGGGTACATGATTATGAAAAATGGCATCAACCAATGTGGGACTATATATCGCAACACACGCCTTATTGGAGCTCCGACCCAATTGCGCCCCTTTTCCCTTTCTTCAACCCGCTGCGCTATTGTCATTTTTCTGCTCAGGTCTGTCATTTGATTCATGGCAACACAACCCAGATCGATTTGGCCATGGACATGCAACTTTGCCCTTTCTCCACCATCTTTCTCTTCTCTGTCTTCTTCTATTTCTTCAGCTCCTTTTTTTTTTTTCCTTTCTGCAACTTCATCTTCTTCCGCTTCTTATTCGATTGCTCTCTCTTTGTTCCCTTCTTCTGCTCCTGCTTCTGTTTCTTCGACACTCTGTTTCTACTTTTTTTTGTTTCTGATTCCCTTGTGCCTGATCTAAATCAAGATTCTGATCTAAATAATTTGCTGATAACTAAATCAAGATTCTCAATAATCTGAGTATTTTCGTTTGGCAATACATAATTTTTTTTTTATGCGTAAATCAACTTTTATAAGGGCCAGACTTTCTATAATTTTGCATTGGGTGGTGATGTTCTGAATTTAGCCTCGATAAAGCAAAGAATATATTTCCTAACTCTTTGTGATTTGGTTTCTAGTTCTGTTTGAAAAAGTCATGATTTGGGGTCTGTGATCACTGATGAAGGTTACCCCTTATGTGCTCAAGCATGTTTACATTCTTGAACATCTGCAAATGCTTAGGAGTAAAAGAAAGAACAGAAAACAATTAGTTACATGAAAACTATAAAAATATGGAAGGGAAAAACTATCTACAGTCTAAGAGAAAGAGAAAGAGAGAGAGAAGAATAAACATGAGAAATACAGAACCCCCTCCTCCCATTCTAAGAGAGAGAAGAATAAACATGGAAAGCAGGGAAGCCTCATTAATTATGAAGGGGCTGACTGTAATTTGTGTGTAAATTGGCTGATAACTATATCATGATTCTCAATAATGTTTGGTATTTTCTTATATGAATACCCAGAAAACTTTTATCTGCAAATCACCTTTCTTTCGCCTTATCTAATTGTCAGTTTTAATATATTTTGTTATGATTCTGATTTTCTTTTTTATGTTTTGCAGTCTAGATTGGCATTGAAACCTGATGGCTTATTTTTAGCAGCTATTTTTGGAGGAGAAACGTTAAAGTGACTGTTATTTTTATTTCTAGATATTTCTTTCGTACACCAATGTATGAGCAATTTTATGATATTTGTGCTATTACCAGGGAGCTCAGAATAGCTTGTACAGTGGCACAAATGGAGCGTGAAGGAGGGATCAGTCCCCGACTATCACCTTTGGCACAGGCATGTGTTATTGCAAAAATATTGTCTTGTAAATTATTTCTTTATCAGTTAAGCTCTTCTATAATTAGAATGAATGCAATAGTTTTTCTTTTGAAAACATTAATTTGGTTCCGTGTTACTAATCTTTGTAAGTTGGCACTGTAATCATGAACTCAATGATTTTGTTTGAGAGTAATTCCACATCATTGCTGGTGGTTAATTCTGAAGTAGATGAGTGTGTTTATCACATGTCCATCATGGCAACATTAGTCTTGCATACCTCTTTAAGATCTGTTGGTTAATCTGGCTAGTTGTAACTTAAATGCTTGTAACATTAAGACTTATAAATAATAATCTCCAAATAGAATAATAAAGCTGAACTGAGATCTTTTGTCCTTGATTTTTTAGGTTCGAGATGCTGGGAATCTTTTGACTAGGGCAGGCTTCACTCTTCCAGGCGTTGATGTTGATGAGTATGTAGTTAAATATGAAAGTGGTAAGAGTTTTCATTTGGTTTTATAATTGAATTATTCAACATGCATGAGCTCAATTATGTGAGTTGTGTGTTCTCCTTAAACTTTAGTTGCGTTAGATTCTTCCTTAGTTAGGAATTCCGATTCTGGTTGATGACTAAATAAGAAGTTATTTGCTGAGGTATGAGAATGGTAGTCCTGTTTGCTGATTGATAGGCATGAAGGAAGTAAAGGCCATAAGGCACCGGACCACCACATGGACAGTATGGTGGCTAAAAGGAATATGTGCTATGGGAGAGGGAGGGCTGGCAAAAACTGAGAGAGGAATAGTGGCTATTATTTTCCATTTCTGTCTCTGTAATTTCTGGTTTGGATATATAATTAATCTTGCAGCCTACCTTAGTGTCTATTGTAAATAATAAAATTATTTTATTATTTTGTAATAGTTAGAATATTCTATAAGTGTATTTGGGCTTAGCCCATTAGGTTTTTTAGTCTCTTTAACTAGAGAACTCTTGTACAAATATTATACAATTCAATTGTATACAAATCTTCTTTTCTAATTGGTATGAGAGCTCTCTGCTTCCGCAAATCACTACCTCTAAAAACCAAACCCTTTTGCCTCTCGCTGCCACAAAGTTGCCGTCGGAAAAAAAAAATTCCGAGAACCTTTTGGACCGCGAGGACCCCTGTTTCACTCTGTTTTCTTAGATCTATCATTCTACGGAGGTTTTTTTTTTCATCAGACGACCGGAACAACTCAAGCAAAAAAAAAAAAAAACGGACTGTTCAGCCGACACTATTCATCGGGTACTGTTCATCGCGCACAGTTCACGTGACACTATTCATCACACACTATTCACCGGTACTGTTCATCGGAAAAAAGAAGAAGAGAAATTTTATTTTATTTTTCTGATCAACTATGTTTGGTAAGATCACACACCCTACATCTCTTCTTACATCTTGCACTGATTTCAAAAATTCATGGATTATGTATTCTGGTGCAACTGATCATATGACCTGTCTAGTTGATTCTTTTCTTTCATATCACCCTACTAGTGGTATCCGGACTATAGTTGTAGCTGATGGATCCCACAAATCAGTTGTGGGTTCTGGTAACATTCAAATTCAACCTTCTTTATCTTTAAAGAATGTTCTTTATGTTCCTCAGCTCTCTACCAATCTTATCTCCACTTATAAGCTTACAACTGACATGAATTGTGCTGTCACCTTTTTTCCTACCCATTGTGTTATTTAGGATATCACCACGGGGAGGATGGTTGGAGTTGCTAAGGAGCAAGGTGGGTTGTACTATCTCATTCCAGAGCATGCTACAAGGGATATTGGGAATCAATTATTGATGAGTCATCACCCGTCTACTTCATTCTCACAGATTTGGCTTCATCACAAACGCCTGGGGCACCCGTCATTTGGCTTATTGAAGTCAATGTTTCCTTCTTTGTTTAAGGATCAGGCAATTGACTCCTTCCATTGTGATGTTTGTGAGCTTGCGAAACACCATCGTGTGCCCTTTCCTTTAAGTTCAATAAAGAGCATCGAGCTTTTTACTCTTATCCATTAAGATGTTTGGGGCCCTTCTAAAGTACATAATATTTCAGGTGCTAGGTGGTTTATTTCTTTTATTGATGATTGCACTCGGGTGACATGAATATTCTTGATGAAAGACAAGTCAGAAGTACCAAAATTGTTTATTCGATTTTATCAAATGATCGAGACACAATTTGGGAAAAGTATTAAGAGATTAAGAACTGACAATGGTACGGAGTATGTCAACCAGTGTCTGTCACAATTCGTTTCAGATAAGGGTATGATTCATGAGCTCACATACGTGGATACCCCTTAACAGAATGGGGTTGCTGAAAGAAAAAATCGACATTTGCTTGAAGTCACCAGAGCATTATTGTTTCAGACATCTGTACCCAACTCTTACTGGGGAGAAAACTTATTAACTGCAGCCTATTTGATCAACCGCTTGCCTTCCAGAGTCCTTGGCCATGTAAGTCTTGTTGATCTTATGACCTCTTTTTTTCCTTCTGTTCCAATTATGCAAAGTCTCCAGTCTCGTATCTTTGGATGTGTTGCCTTTGTCCATATCCATAAACAACATCGGAGTAAATTAGAGCCTAGAGCCCTTAAGTGTGTCTTCCTTGGTTATGCTCCCAACAAGAAAGGATACAAATATTACCATCCTCCAAGTCGTAAATTCTTTGTCTCTATAGATGTTAGCTTCTATGAATCTGAGTCTTACTTTCTACACCCTCAGCTCAGGGGGAGAATAGTGTAGAAGCTTCATCCATTTTCTTCGAGTTTGAGTCTCCCTTTCTGTTACCTACATCTTCTACTCCATTAGTTACACTACATGACATTGAGAAGGAAGACTTAATTGCTAAGGTTGAAAATTCATCTGATTCCTCATGTGACATGCCTCCTATTGATAGACAGAAAGTACGCAAAGCTGGGACACCCGAACTATTGTACCAAAGGAAGAAACAACCCACACTGTCCCATCAGCAACTGCAATCGCCTGAACCGCTGGTAAGTACTGAACACACTACTTCTTTTATTCCTGAGCCTGATATTAATTCTGATGACTTACCCATTGCTGTAAGAAAAAGGAAAAAGTCTTGTACCCAACACCCTATTTCTCATTTTGTCTCCTCTAAGAATCTTTCTCTGCAGCATAGAAGTTTTATTACAACACTTGACTCCATTTCAATCCCGAAATCAGTGCATGAAGCATTAAAGGATGATAATTGGGTTCAAACCATGCATGAGGAGATGAATGCATTGGAGAAGAATAATACATGGGAAGTTGTTGGCAGGCCAAATGGAAAAAGGACAGTAGGGTGCAAATGGGTGTATACTTCGAAGTATAATTCTAATGGGACTCTTGAGAGGTATAAAGCTCGATTGGTAGCCAAGGGATACACACAGACCTATGACATTGATTACGAAGAAACATTTGCTCCAGTGGCCAAAATGAACACTGTAAGAGTACTATTGTTCCTCGCTGCTCATTTTAGCTGGGATTTGAACCAATTTGATGTGAAAAATGCCTTCCTCAATGGTGAATTAGAAGAGGTTTACATGGAGATTTTACCAGGATTTAACTCTACAAATGGAGATAATAAAGTTTGCAGGTTAAAGAAGGCGTTGTATGGTTTGAAGCAATCCCTGCGTGCTTGGTTTGGAAGATTTACCAAAGTCATGTTTTCATTGGGATACAAGCAAAGCCAAGGGGATCATACAGTTTTCTTTAAACATTCTCAGGAAGGTAAGACCACTATCCTTTTAGTTTATGTTGATGACATTATTATAACAGGGGATGATATAGGTGAGAAATGTGCTCTGAAAAAAAGATTGACTGCTTAATTTGAAGTTAAAGATCTTGGAAAACTGAGATATTTTCTTGGGATAGAAGTTGCGCATTCAAAGCAAGGGATATTTATTTGTCAAAGGAAGTATGTTCTTGACCTTCTTAAAGAAGCAGGAAAACTTGGGTGTAAACCTTCCAGTACTCCGATTGAGCAGAATCACAGACTAGGAAGTGAAAATGAGAGCTCTCCAATTGACAGAGGACAATATCAACGAATAGTTGGCAGATTGGTATATCTAGCTCATACTAGACCTGATCTAGCTTATGCAGTTAGTGTTGTTAGTTAATTTATGCATGATTCGAGGGAGAAACACTTGCGAGCTGTGGACAGGATTCTCCAATATCTGAAAGGCACACTAGGTAGAGGACTATTGATCCAGAGAGGAGGAAACTTATCTTTAGAAGTTTATACAGACGCCGATTATGCTGGATCCGTGACTGACCGACGGTCTACTTCGAGCTATTGTATGTTTCTGTGAAAATCTTATAATATGGAGAAGTAAAAAGCAAAATGTGGTTGCTGGATCAAGTGCAGAAGCAGAATTTCGAGCTATGGCTCAAGGTATCTGTGAGTTATTATGGCTGGAAATCATTCTAGATGATCTCAAGGTAAGATATAAAGGATCTATGAAGTTACTTTGTGATAACAAGTCAGCTATTTGTATAGCCCACAATCCAGTTCAACACGATCGAACCAAACATATCGAGATTGATCGCCACTTCATTAAAGAGAAATTAGACAGTGGACTGATCACTACTCCATATATTCCTTCTGGTCGTCAATTGCATGATGTCTTAACCAAGGGTCTTCCTAATGATAGATTTCAAGAATTTACTACCAAGATGGGAATGATAAATATCCATTCCTCAGCTTGAGGGGGAATATTGTAAATAATAGAATTATTTTATTATTATTTTGTAATAGTTAAAATACTCTATAAGTATATTTGGGCTTAGACTATTAGGTTTTTAGTCTCTTTAAATAAAGAACTCTTGTACAAATATTATACAATTCAATTATCTACAAATCTTCTTTTCTAGGTTGTACAGGTTCATTGTACATATGATTTGTTAGGTCCAGATTCATTGTATCCATGTGTTTAGATTAATAGATATTAAGTTGTCCGTGGTGTGCATGATACATCGTTTTTAGCATGTGACTTTGTTGGGCTTCCTCCTTCAATGCTAAGCCCAAGCCCATTTGAGGGGTTTCCTAAAAACCCTAACCCTAATTTCCACCTCCTCTATATATACTCATTAGTTGTGGGTGGAGGCTAGGTCAGATTTGAGAGAAAAAAATTTGAGAGAAAAATTGCTTGATTGTTTGAGTAAAGCTTTATGCTTTGCATCTGAGAGATCTCTAGAAAGTGTTTGAGTGAAACATCTCTAGGGTAGTTTGATTATCACCATTGTTGGAGAGGTTGAGTTAACCACCACATTGGTGTATTTGATTATTTGTAACCATTATTTTCATAGTGGATTTTTTATCTGGACTAGGTCCCGTGGGTTTTTACTTCTTCATTGGAGAAGGTTTTTCCACGTTAAATCTGGTTGTGTTCTTCTTCTCTCTCTCTCCTGTTTTTGTTTTGATTTTTCCGCTGCGCTGCCCGACCTGGTGAAGTTCAG